TCTTAGTTACAGTTTCAATAAACACAGAACCCAGCTATTTTTGCTCAAAAGTAGCTGTAATCTCAGTCTGTCCCAGCCTACTGTGCTGTACAGACTAGAGGCAAACTGCCTGTTTTAAACAGAGACTCCTAAACAATCCAACTTCTACACTAATCTCTCTCTCAGAACTCAAACTGCTCTCTACTCTTCTCAGAACTCAGCTGAACTAACTCTAAAACTGTCAAATCTCACTGTTCTCTTTCCCTCCTTCTGCCTAACTCCGCCCCTATTCTCTAAACCAATCCTAGCTGTTGCTGGGCTGGCACAGGCCTCAGCCACTCCCCCTTCTGCCCTGGAGCTTTTCCCTACTCTAAAATGGCTCCAGCAGCACTCTGCCAGGCCTTCCAAGCTAAACTACCTAGCCTGACTTTCTCCTGGGGCCCTGCCACCCTGGATGGCAAGGTAAGGGATCTTTACAGACTGCATGTACATAAAATGATTTAATGAAAGACCCTCCCCATAAATGGACAGCAGAGTAACTTATTCGCAGCAGCGTGACCCAGCACCAGTAGGCAAAAGGGATAAAAAGAACAAAAACACACAGACCAATGTTATGTCTAACAGGCTTCGGTCTACTCGCTCTCCTCAGGACAACACTAGCTTTGGCCCACTGACTCTTTCTCACACTTTGTAAAACCCAGTTAATTTTTTAATATTTCTGACACACCTTCTATTTTTTATTACAAAAAAATCCCAAATTTAAAGCATACATATTTCTGACAGTATGTGGGCCCTGTCAAGATTGGTGGGTGTTCGCAGCTTTTCTGTGGCTGCAGAAGACATGTTTTGTGGCATTGCAACAAATAACTTGCCTGTTATTCAAAGTCTTTCAATAAACATTGCTGCAAGGAGTACATAAAGAATCCCAACAATACTAAACTGAAATAAATGGGTGTGCACTAGGAACATAAGGGTGGTTTTCTAAGTAAATCTGTAGCACTTCTAAAAGTAGTACATATTTTTGGAAATGTTCTCGGGCCACCGTTAGGGTAGACTCCCTTCTGGTGCTTTTGAGGAATGCGACATCCAATGACATGGTAAGGGGATCTAGTAATGTCTTTATTTTGAGATGAAATTAGAAGCCAGTGACTAGTTTGTTTTGTCTGATAATACCTGTAATTAGTGTACAAAGTAACAAGGTGGATCTCAAGTATTTGCTCTTTCATGAGTATTGAGGGACAGTTTATGGGAAGAAAATTATGAGAGGAATGGTGTCAGGGAACAGCTGTCTGGGAGGATTCTGAATTGGAAATGACATGTTGTTGTTGTTCATTCGTTCAGTCGTCTCCGACTCTTCGTGACCTCACGGACCAGCCCACGCCAGAGC